CATCTGAATGTCTCAACAGAAATCGATACTCATCAGACCAGGCAACATTTTTCCAGTCTTCAACTGTCCAATTTTGGTGAGCTCTTGCAAATTGTAGCCTCTTTTTCCTATTTGTAGTGGAGATGAGTGGTACCCGGTGGGGTCTTCTGCTGTTGTAGCCCATCCGTCTCAAGGTTGTGCGTGTTGTGGCTTCACAATTTATGCTGATGACATACAGTTGTATTGCTCGTTCAATGACTCCGAGTTCCACAAACTAACAGATTTATTGGAATGTTTTTCTTTAGTTAAATCGTGGCTTGCTAGTAACTGTCTTCAATTAAATTCGGAAAAGACTGAAACCCTAATTGTTGCCCCAGACAATAAAATACCATCCATCCTTCAAAACCTTGGTTCTCTGAGCTCCTCTGTCCAGTCGAGCATCAGAAACCTGGGTGTCTGGTTTGACCAGTCAATGTGTCTGGATTGCCATTCTAGACTTATGGTCAGAAACTGCTTTTATCACCTAAGAAATATTGCAAAATTGAGGGTAATTTTATCAGACTCTGACCTAGAAGTGGTTATCCATGCTTTTATTTCTTCACGGTTAGATTACTGTAACTCTCTTTTTACTTTTTGTAACAAATCTACTTTAAATCGCCTTAAAATGGTTCAAAATGCTGCGGCAAGGCTTCTAACAAGATCTGGCAGGAGGACACACATTACACCCATTTTGTCCTCCTTACACTGGCTACCCATCAAATTGCGTATTGATTTTAAAATATTAGTTTTAACTTTTAGAGCTTTACATGGTCAGGCCCCTCAATACATTGCTGATTTGTTATGCACATACTCCCCAGGCCGTGCTCATCGATCCTCAGGCCAGAGTATGTTAATGGTCCCAAAGACTCGCTATAAAATCCGGGGAGACTTGTCCTTTCAGCTTGTAACCCCCAGACTGTGGAACGCGTGTGGCCGACTCGGTCGATTCTTTTAAAGGGCATCTCAAGACACTGTTATTTAGACAAGCATTTAGTTAACTGGGTTTTATTTTGGGCTCTTTAAATGCTGTAATTTTTACTGATTGTATATTGTTGCACTTGTGCACTTTGTGATTTTATCTGTGAAAAGTGCTCTATAAATAAACTTTACTTACTTACTTACAAATGCTTTGCTGCATACCTCGGTTGTAACGAGTGGTTATTTCAGTCAAAGTTGCTCTTCTATCAGCTTGAATCAGTCGGCCCATTCTCCTCTGACCTCTAGCATCAACAAGGCATTTTCGCCCATAGGACTGCCCCATACTGGAGGCAAACCCTAGAAATGGGTTTCTAGGGTTCTTTCTTTTAAACCCTAGAAATGGTTGTGCGTGAAAATCCCAGTAACTGAGCAGATTGTGAAATACTCAGACCGGCCCGTCTGGCACCTACAACCATGCCACGCTCAAAATTGCTTAAATCACCATTCTTTCCCATTCTGACATTCAGTTTGGAGTTCAGGAGATTGTCTTGACCAGGACCACACCCCTAAATGCATTGAAGCAACTGCCATGTGATTGGTTGATTATATAATTGCATTAATGAGAAATTGAGCAGGTGTTCCTAATAATCCTTTAGGTGAGTGTATAATGATATCAAACAAATTTGATGTATTCATCTTGTCATTCAATTCTAATCAGATTTGCGTTTCCTGAAGCAAATATTTAAGTTGGTTACACAGCTTTTACACAGTCTGTGGGGTTTAGTCTACTAGTTTTGGACACGTCTGAAATACAGCGGCACACACACAGTGTATAGCGGCACACACACAGAGGGAACTTCTGCTGGAAAACTGCATGATTTTAGACCTGAATATAAACCTCTATTCAAACTCATAAGCATAGAGTTTAATGTGGTTTGCTGAGGTGCTCTGACAGGTGTGTGTGTTTGTGTGTGTGTGTGTGTGTGTGTGTGTGTACCTAGGTGGCAGGTATGTAGAGGCGTAGGTGCCACCTTTACCCTTAATGTGCATAATGGACTGAGATATTGGCTGCTGTTGTACACTTTTTTTTGTCAAATTTGAATTATGCCATGATATATGCTTATCTTTTAATTCAAATAAAGAATTTAAATGTGTCTGTGTGTGTGTGTGTGCATCTCATGCAGCGTTAACACGTTACAATAAGGTCCATTAGTTAGTGTATTCACTAACATGAGCTAACAATGAGCAATACATTTGTTACTATATTAGTTCATCTTCGTTAGTTATTAAAAATACAGCTGTTCATTGTTTGTTCATGTTAGTTCACAGTGCATTTACTAATGTTAACAAATACAAAACTTTTCATTTTAATAACGTATTAGTAAATGTTGAAATTAACATTAACTGAGATTAATAGATGCTGTAGAAGTATTGTTCATTCTTAGTTCATGTTAACTAATGAAACCGCTGTTACCGCTGGATAAGATGCACACATACACACACACACACACACACGCACACACACACACATGAACCTTATTGTAAAGTGTTACCGCTGCATGAG